GTGCGTTCCGTTTCTCGCATGATGCGCATAATGCATCGTTTATCCTTGTTGCTCACCAAATGTTAAACAAGGATAATGGATGCATCATGCACATCATGCGCGATACGGAACGCACCTATAATATAATGTAAAAACTAAATCAAAGATGTCACCACTATTATCGAATTTGGAATTAAAAGAGTCTGTACTATCGACCTTGATTGAGTTGGGTAATCGGTTTAGCATCCCCTTAAGGCGGTCTTGAATATAAGAACTAACTATATATAGCGTATTCGATTTACTGACTCGATCCGACTCCGAGTCAGTAGTCTGTTCTGTTTAACTACAAAAGAAGAGCTAAATTGTGTAAGAAATGCAGCTAAAAAGAACAGACTGTTGACTCAGAGTCGGGTCGAGTCAGTAATCGAATACGCTATAAGAATATCGGCCTTAATGCTTGGTTTATACTTCAGTCTTAACCCTAAAATCCTAAAATTCAGTCAATAAGGCTGCCAGTCTTAATTGGTCCTGATTGAAATCTGTATTTCATTGGCTGAATTTTAGGATTTTAGGATTAAGACCGAAGCATAAACCAGGCATAAAAATAAGATCTGATTATGAATACCTATTTCTATGAATTTTTATTACGTCTATGGCTTGTATCGGTATATGGGAATGTCAAGCGGCGAATTGTTGATACAAATTACTGCTATATCGGCGCTGAATTATTCGATATCAAGGATTCGATATCGATACAGTCCATCACTAGTAGCGCGATATCCAATCAACGTACTGCTTTTCCAGAAGAGCTATGCGCTGATTGAATTTCGCCCGTCGCGAATCGCGCCGTTGTGACGGAACCATAAAATGCCTACTGTATATTGGACACGATATATGGACGCGATGAGCGACGGGCAATATCCAATGAGAACTCTGCTTTCCATTGTCACCAAGATGAGTGAAAGCAGGGATGATCCCGATTGACCACGGCTCGATTGGACACCACCAATCACAGCGACCGGTGCTTAGGAGCTTTGTAGTCTTAAGCGCTGTGAGTGGCTTGTGTCCAATTGAGCCGTGTCCAACTGGGTACCACCCGTGAAAGCAGAGCTTTCATTGGATATCGCTTAAGGGCTCCACACAATAAAAAGAAGAGAGAATAATGCCTTGCGCACAATAGAGGAACAAGAAATAGATATTAAGATTTCAACCTATCAGAAACCATGTATTCCGATGTAATCAGTTTCTGATAGATTGAAATCTTAATATCTAATTCCTGTTCCTCTATTGTGCTCGGGCCCTAAGAATTTCATCCTAGCGGAAACTGTGTATTCTACAATACATGATTTCTGATAGGTTAAAATTTCCTTTCTTAAGGTGCAGCCACAATAGAAGGCATAAGAAATTAGGAATAAGTCCGGATCTAAAATAGGTGTTTTATGCCTTATGCCGTAAGAAACTGACTAATTACAGTCGAATCCGAGAAGAATAAGCGACTGTGATTCGCCCATTTCTTATGGCTTAAGGCTTAAAACCCTATTGTAGATCCGGGGTAAAGTCACCACGGTTGTCACCTTCGTGCAAAGACATAGGCCCGTATTCAGAACGCGCTTTTATCGATAAAAGCGCATATTTATCTCTGAAATTATATAATATACGTGACGTAAAGTATAGTATGTTAGCGCGCTAACATCATTGTAAGCGCGTTCTGAATACGGGCCATAGACTACATTTACACGGCACCCTTAATCGAGTTTAATAACATCCGTAGTTATGAAACTGGCCAATCACAATCATTCCATTCTCTCGAGGAAAAGTTGTGATTGGCCAATTTCATAACTACGGATGTTATTAAACCCGATTAAGCGTGCCGTGTAGCAGAGGTCATAGAGAATTGTCTCTGGCCCGTATTCAGAACGCGCTTACAACGATGTTAACACGCTAACATACTATACTTTACGTCACGCATATTATAGAATTTCAGAGATAAAAGTGCGCTTTTATCGATAAAAGCGCGTTCTGAATACGGGCCTATGTCTTTGTCTTCGTGTGATGGCCTTCATGCAGCGAGCCGAGCAAAGTAACGTCCATCGATCAGCATGCAAGAGAGCAAGCACGAAAATCATGCATCGTGTGCGGCCAGCTTTATTGCTCATCGCTTCCAGTGTGCAGTAGGCATTAAGGTATATCCACACAAACTTGCATAGCCGCATAAACGTATGCATAAAGAAAATTATCCAATCGCATTTTTACGTACGACTTTAAAAGAGAACTGCAATTGGATAATTTTCTTTATGCATATGTTTATGCGGCTATCCAAGTTTGTGTGGATATACCCTTAAGTGGAAAGGCCGTGGCGCGGCGGCGCGCGCGACATCCGGCTTGTGCGCAATCGCAGCCAAACACCAACCGCGAATCCCGGGGCCAGAGTGGAACACTAGAGAAAAATTTCCCAGTAGAGAGAGAGATTTGTTAGCGGAAAAGTCGTGAGTCGATGTAAGTAAATAAAGGACCGTGCGAAAGATATACTTGTCGCCGACGCGCGTTTACGGGCAGGGCAAGCCGTCAACGTGCGAAAGACTTGAACCAAATTCGACACGGAGATATCCGCAGCGGATCGACGTTTAATTTCGTTAAAGCCTGATTTTGGCTTGGTCTCGCGATTAAGGTTAAAGTGAATCAGAGGGTATGTGCTCGTGGCTTTTCGCAGGCCAGCAACCCCTCTGGCGGATGGATCGCGGAATCTCGCGTGACGTTCGCGATGCTACGATGAACGCCATCCTCGTTCTCGTCGCTCGTGCCCCTCTGATGCTCGCGATCGCTCGTTGCGTTTACATAAATGGGAAACTCGGGGCGCGTCGCCGCGGGTAGGTCGATCTCGCGATCGCGATCGTCTCCCGCGGGAGCCTCGTGCCCTAGTCAGGATAAAGATGTGTCGAGAAAGAAAGAGAGAGAGAGAGAAAAACGCACGAGCGAGAGAAGCGACAAGATCGAGATCGACGAAAGAAAAGATTGAGATCAACGATCGAGATGAGGAGTCTTTCTTTCTCGACGATGTGATTCGATAGTAACATAATGGTAGTCCGTCTCTCTTTCTCTCCCTCCTTCGTCCACCTCGTCGACACCGTTTGTCCTCCCATCCATCCATCCATCCATCCCTCCCTCCCTCCCTCCCTCCTTCCTCCCTGTGACCCTTCTCGCGTTCCTTCCGACTGTCCCCCCTCCTCCCCCGCTCGAAAATGTTTCTTTCTCTCGCCCACTCGTTGGCGATTTTCCCTCTTCGGAGACTGCTGTCGCGAAACTCGCGAAATGTAAATCGTCGTCCTTGCGTACTCGTGGCCTAGGAGACGAGATTGGCGAGAACGAGAGGTGGAATTTACGTGTCATACCCCACCACCGCCGGCCACTAACCGTGGATAGGATTTTCGCGTGGGTCTCTCTGTTATTATGGCGTAGCCAGTGAAACCCTCTCTCTCGCGGACGCCAGCCAACAGCTGTTTCGCCCGATCGTCGCCCTCTGGTACGGTTCGCGTTTTCCGTCGCGCGACGAAGAAGGGAGATTGAGGGACGCGTGAGAAACGTGCAGAGTCGCGCGCGAGAGAGTGAGAGAGGAAAGAAAAAAAAGGTAGAAAACAGTGTCCCTCTCTTTGTAGAACGGTGCACAGGATTTTTCTGCCGAGCCTTCTCTTCCTCCCTCTCCTCCCCCGCCCCTCCCACTCATCGGTCGTCGACGACCTCGACGTCACACGGTGGGACGACGTCGTCGACCCTCGTGCGTAGGGCGTCGTGCGATCCCTCGTGCGTAATCGCACGAGAATTCCGGTATGCACGTCTCCTTTGTTCACTGCACCTCTCTCGCCATTCGTTCTCCTTCTCCCTCCCCTCCCCTCCCCCCTCGCCGCCTCCCTCCCTTTTTCTCGCGCAGATCTGACAGCTCCTGTCAAAACGGAACTCGCGGAGTTCGTGACCTGTCGTCGCCCTTTCGGTCCGCTCCGTCTTCGCTCTCTCTCTCTCTCTCTTTTTATCGTCGTCCTTTCCCCTCGTCTCACCTCGCGCGCCCGTCTCGCACCTGTTTCGATCTGATAACAGGACGGGAAAAGCGCGTGGGAGTGCAGCTGAGGACGGACGAACGTTTTCTGCGTCTTCTGCGTCGTGTAAAAAGCCGTTTGCGCGCGCGTGTCCACATTTCGCGTTATTACCGTCCCGTCGGCGAGAACTGTCGCACGGAAAAATGTTCGGACGGCGATGGGATAGGAACTGTGTCCTCTCGCGAGCGTGGACGTGAAATCCGCATCTCCCTTCCCTTCCCCCCCGAGAGAGCGCGGATGGTTAACGGTTTGCTGCGCCCATCTGTTTCAGATCAGGACAAAAGTTTAGCGACGTGTTAAAGTGAAGTCTGCGAGCACTGTCAATTATACTCATCAGCCAGCGATAGGTGACGGGACTTTGCATGTAAGTGAAGCCAAAGTGGCATTTCGGATCTCTGCGACACAAAATTCGAAAAACCTGGTGGTGTCGTATAGACAAAGGGATAATATATAACAAAAAGAGAACGAGCCAGGCGTATTGTAACGGCGTATCTCGACTGATCTTGCGACTGACGTCGCGTTTTATTTGCAGACTTTGGCACTTAGATAAATATTCGTGATTTTGCTCGTCTTGTGACATTCACGAGATTAGCGTAATCGAAGATGTCAGTATTGAATCAAAGCGGTGAGGATGCGGTGGAGTGCCCTCTGTGTATGGAGCCGTTGGAGGTGGACGATCTGAATTTCTTCCCGTGCACCTGCGGATATCAGATATGCCGGTTTTGTTGGCACAGAATTCGTACCGACGAGAACGGTTTGTGTCCCGCATGTCGAAAGGCCTACTCTGAAAATCCGGCTGACTTTAAACCCCTTACCAAGGAAGAAATAGCAAGGTATTTACGAATTTGCTAGTTATCCTAATTAATAATATTTGTCAATACATAATTGCGCCATAAAAATACATAGCCTCGACCACAAGTATGAAACACCCTCAATTTATTGTATTTTTTTGGAAAAGACAGTAATAAAAGTCGTAGTAGAGTAAAATGTCGAAATTGATACTTTTTAAATAAAATTGTTTTTTAATATATTTTTCGTTAAATATAGAATTGAGGTATTTACATTAATTTATGAAGATACTTACGGCCAAGGCTCTGTATATTATTGAAAGAAATAATCGATCCTGCTCTGTTCTTCCTAGATTAAAAGCTGAGAAGAGGTTGAAGGATCAACAACGGAAGCAGAGAGTTACAGAAAATCGGAAACATCTAGCAAATGTGAGAGTAGTACAAAAAAATTTAGTGTTTGTAGTAGGATTACCAATGCGGCTGGCAGATGCTGATGTGAGTATGGTCAATAACGAGCGTTCTATAAGTGATCGATAACGCCAAGAGCTCGGCAAATACCGTATTTAAAAAAAAAAAGATCACGATAGGTAATATTTCGCATGCTTTAGGTTTTAAAGAAACACGAATATTTTGGGAAATTTGGGAAGATACACAAAGTCGTAATTAACCAGAGTACTTCCTATGCAGGGTCTCAAGGCCCCAGTGCTTCGGCTTATGTTACTTATCAAGTGAGTCGATTTATGGTTTTCTTTATACGATAAGATTTCGTTTTCTTGTTTCACGGTGTTTGCGAATAAGATGACAAAAGTAATAAATGTGTTGTAAGCAATAGTGTTCTTCGTGTTGTAACAGCGTCAAGAGGATGCGCTACGTGCTATAGAGGCTGTGAATAACATTGTTGTGGATGGACGGACAATAAAAACATCATTAGGAACGACAAAGTATTGTTCGCATTTTATGCGTAACCAAGCCTGTCCGAAGCCAGATTGCATGTACCTGCACGATCTTGGGGACCAGGAGGCATCGTTTACGAAGGAGGAGATGCATCAAGGAAAACATCAGGAGTACGAGCGCAAGCTTGTGCAATCGTTACATGCACACGCGTCTTCAATTCAACGGTACAAAATCTATTTTGTTGTAAAAATAATTTCTCGGAAATGTTATACACGTAAATCCAATTTTAATTATTAATAAGGCCTGTTCTGTTGAGTTGAATTTCTTGCACGGTTCATCTTTTCTCTTTTTCTCTCCAACGTCGTGCAAGAACTTTAGCTAAAAAAAAAGACTTATTATAAAAAACTATCCAAGGAAACAAACAAGATGTTAAAATGAAATAAATGCATATTTATTTGAGCATCAATAAATGAGAAATACTAAATTTTCAATAACCAATATATAAATAATTTAAACAAGTATATAAATGATAAATGTTGATGCAAGATCTAAGATCGTAATTAAGACATAAAAAAGTTAGGTAGTCATATAAAAATGACATTAATGAATTTCTTCACCACTAGATAACCAAGAGATATCTCTCAGAAAACAATGGAGATATCTCCTGGATAAAGTTATCCGCAACTTATCTGGAAGTGAAGAAATTGGGCATAAGTCACATCTAGTTTTAACTTTGTTTGCACAGGAAACCGACACCATCACCACCTGTAACGGGCAGTATTGTTAGGGAAAGTGGAACTGTAAATTCGCAAACTAAAGAGGCATGGCCATCGTTGCAGCCAGGACAGACAAATAGTGAGTAAATCTCAATATTGTGCATAATAAGAAACTTTATTGAAATTAAAATTTTTGTAAGGATTTTAGATATTAACGTATTAACATTTTGCTTTCAGGTACACAAAGCAGTTGTAAAGAAATATCACCACCTACGCAAACAACTTCACAGCACAGTAATATAACAAGCGGAAACGGCACGGTAGCTCAACAAAGTCACATGTCCTCCGGGGTGTCTATGCATCAACAAAACAACAACAACAATAAGGATGAAAGTGGTGTGGGTGTGCGACGGGGTAAAAGTAATAGCGAAAGTAAAGCACAGGCAGCTCGGAACAAACATAAAAATAGTCAAAATAAAGAGAAGCACGGTACTCGTACGACATCGCGATCTGAATCAAGCTCAATCAACACGCAAAATAGTTCACAGTCGCAAATTACCGGACAAAAGGACGTTAGAAACTTTTCCGCTGATACGAACAGTGAAATGTTGCAAAAATTGGGTAACAAGTGTAAAATGGAACAGCAGCAACAGCAGCCACAGTCACAACAAATTAGCAACAAGACATCAAAATTAGTTCAATTACAGCCTCACGAAGTTAATGTAAATGGTGCATTTCAAAACGGGGAACGTCGGCATTCGGACAGTGAAACGGATCAACAGCGCGAGGGTAGCACGCCAGCGAGTACGATCTCGAGCACGGAAGACTCGAATGTTAATCACCAAGCCGAGCACTTAGCTGAATCAAGCGAGGAAAATAGTGGTGCTGTTCTTTTGGGTGAGTTCTTTATTCTGATCGCTTTTATATGCTTTTATTTTCTGGTAATATAATTTTACGATATTTACGATATGTAAAATTTATAAACGAGAAGACGTGAAATTTTTTTTGGTCGATTTAATTTGTGTTCACGGAACTCTACATTTATTTCATTGATACACACATTTATACGATTATTTTTGAAATATGATTCGCCATTAATATGTGTGTTATCAGGATTATTTTTTATTTTATATATTCGCCGAAAATAAATTACTTGAATAAATTGTCATTTTAATACATATTGTACATGTTTAATACATATATTTACAACGTGATTATAAATTTGTTATTTAAAATCAGGATAGACTGTGTTCATCATATGCTAATGTACAAATCCAAATTAAATAACTGTAACATGTCATAATGTTAATCGTACTTCAATACTGTAGAATACATACATTGAATAACATTGATATATGCCAAAATAAAGAGAATTCTTGGAAAAAAATTTAGTAATAATTTTTTTTTGTTTTGTTTTTGTGTACATTTAAATGTTATATATTTCTTATAGATTTCTATGAGAAAAATGTTGGTGTGGACATTGTTTGTCTGATAAATTCAATGATCGAAACATATGTTTTTCCAAACTGAATGAGTACGCTATTTTGATTTTGATACTTTTATATCTAATGATAGATTCTTATTACTATTGAATTGTATAAGTTATTTAATTTTACATTACGTGTGCGTAAATATTTCTTGAGAAAGGAAATAGATTGAAAAGCTGTTTATTCTGGCATTGTAAGAGTATAGAAACGATTTTAACCGCGTCGTGTAGTATAGAGAATTTTGCGTATCATCTGTAGGTTCGTCTCCAGCTAGCACAAATTCATCACAAGGTGCCAATCAATTACCACCACCAGGACTACACAATGGATCTCAAATGCAACTCAACCATCGGTCGATCTTTCAGGCGGACAATAACAGTTTTTTCAGTTCAAATACCTTCCAGAAAATACCAACTACAACCTCGATACCACCAAATTCCCTCGCAGGCATGTATAAGCTCTATATTGTTTTACACAGTATTGTTGTTAGCTTTTTTTAGATAAAAATTCCAAACAAGATATTTCAAACAATGTATTAATCTAAAGGCTCTCGACATTCAAAATCAAGTGAAAAGTATACAAAACAAATGAAAGTCAAGGGCAATTAGTAAGATACCAAAAAAGTATTTTTATTTAAAAATATATAACAATTCAGACGTTTCAGCTTCTCTTTGAACTATCTTCAACGAAAAGATAATACTATATTTTTTATATTCATATCTTCAGTGTCGATCTCCAAGTGAAAATAAAAGTACATCCTAAAAATGATATTTTACTTAAAAAAAAAAGAATTATTAAAAAGTTTTAAGATTTGTCTAGACATTTTTATTCTGCATTTTTCTATTTATATATGTTATTATAATTAGTAAAGGCATTATTAATGAGTTTTTCTTCGGTTTACAGCAAACACAAATCTAGATTGGACGAGCACGGGAGTGGCTACGATACCCGATTCCTTACCGACAGTTCATTCTAGCGAAGATTGGCAAGCTGCTTTTGGCTTTCAGCCTGAATCGTCTCGAACGAATCACATTATAGTAAAATCCAGTTCAACCGATACGTCGAGAGTACCATTCAATTCCGAAGGTTTTGCAGATGAAGAGGTTTATATAAATGCACCTTACACCGCTGCACTCACAGAACCATCATCTAGTACCTTTACATCTAATTTACTTGTAAATTCATCCGCATCTAAGTTTATGGCAGATTATCAACAGAATTCATTACAACAAAGGCTTAATATACAGGTAAGCGGAATAATAAAGTTTTCGGGTTATGTGTCTAAAAAAATAACAAGATATTCATTGAGCATATCACTCCCTTACTTCAAAAGCGATACAACTAAAAAAATTAACTTTTTCAGTGAAGGAGAAAAATTATTTTTAAAACTAACAGAAAAAATTATTGACTAATCAAATAATATCGATAAAAAGAAAATATTTTTAATATAATAAAATATAATTTTTGTTTTAATTTATTTGTGATGATTAATGGTGATGTTTACCAAATTTATTCTTACTTAATTTCATTATAATAATGTTCCTAAAAAATCACGTTTTTTTGTTGTTACTTTTGAAATAAAGGAACGACATGTAAACATTTTTGTTGAAGAAACATAATTTATAACGTTAAAAATAAAATTTCTAAGGCGCAGCAAACTCAAGAAAATTGTGAGTACATAAAACAGAACGGCCACGCTACAATGGAAGAAGTTCGGAATCATTGTGACGCAGGATCGGAAGTGAAAGCAGACGACGATTTAGGTTTTGATCCTTTCCACGAAACGCAGAAAGCATTAGCAGAACTTTTAGCAGAAGATGAAATGCAAGTGCAGCAACAGAAGATGTTCCACCAACAACAGCAAAGAGAACGAGAGGAGCAAACTAGGGTACAGCATCAACAAACTCTCGCTAGCCTTAATCAACAACACTTTCCACAAGTAAATATTTTTATCGGATTCTTTTACTTCTTATTAATATGTTTAATATACATTTTCAGTAACGTGTGCGTTATTTTTTACATGTGCCATTTTTTCTCATTTTTAAAAGTTTTTTTATTTTTTTACTTTTTATGTTTTGAAACTCGCTGATATGGTAAAACTGTGGAGGGGAGTCATATCAGAGAATAGAGGTGACTCATGGAAAACGTTATCATTGATAAGGAAATTGTTCAGATGATTTTTTACAACAATGCGCGTTATGAAAGATTAATATTAATTTTAATTTTAGTTTTTAACGAAATTTGGTGGTACATTTCAGAAAAGCTCTGTATAATTTATAATACTTTATGCAAAATACATTCAAATTAAATGATATTTATATATTATTTTTATCAATAAATACTCACATTTATCGATAAAAATGAGGTGCAAATATAAACCAATGAATTTAAAAAAACAAATACTCTTTCAGGTTGCTCACATAGCACATTTGCAGCAACAAGCCCAGCACTTGCAAAATCTACAGGTGCTTCAGTCGCATTCCCTCCTGTCCCGTCTTCCGCAAAATCTGTTACCAAGCGGCGCACAGAGCCCTGCACAGGGTACTGTAACAGCTACCACCTTAGGACAACGCAGTCGACTCCCGCCACCTGGTTTTCCTGGTTCTACGCCAAATCACATGAACTCATTCGGTCTCGGTATACCGCGACCAGCACCAACGAATAGTGCCCTCTCTGGTTAGTGTTCCTCCAATTTTTCCAGGCACCAGGAATCATAGTGCACAGTGCGTGAAATTTACATACGTATACGATAATCTGTCGTAGCCGTAGACAAAAATATATTATTAATTCGCGGATTTCTATAGACAAGTAAAAAGATCTGTCGGACCACCAAAAAAAATCACACAAACATGTAGATATTTAGATGGGATGTTGCCACTCGCGATCTGTTAATCGTCCAATGCACGCTATGTTTGCAGGAGCGCAGCCACCTCAACCACAGAGTGCGTACCTTCCAAATGGAAGTCCGCTTCTCAACACGCAAAGTAATAATTCTACCTATTAATCTTCTGTATTAGGATATTTTTAATATATTTATAGATTATAATGTCTGATCACAATTTCCTGTACAGGCATCGGCAAGTGCACGGGCGACGTTTACACCCTGAAAGATTGGTGCGAAATTAATAATCAACAGCAACAGTTTCACCATCAAGCGTTACATCAGAAAGGATGGAACAATTTCGGACCTATCGCAGATTGGACTTCGATTGATCCGGCTATAGTCACATCATCTAGACCTCTTCCATTCCAAACTACCAACGCTTGGCAGTTTTCTCACATTCATCCTTCTCATGTTGTAACTCATAACACGCAACAGGTACGATTGAATTTTTTGCATCTTTGCCAATTTGTACTTTATTATTTATCATAGATGTAAAAACATGAATCTTATTTAATTCCTTCTATACGAAGTGTCATAAATTACATTGACGATACATGCAAACGTAACAATTCATGTTTATATTATGTTCAGGAACAGAACACACCTACTCAGCATTGGGCGATGCAACCACCTCCTGGTTTTGCTGCACCCTCAACTACAGGACAATTAAATAATCCGCAGCCGAGCACGACCGCACAACCGCACACCAAGCTCATCTCTGCAGGATCGGAAATCGAAAGTAAGTTGATCGCGATCAAGCTCCGTGCAAACTAATAAAAAGAAAAAGAAAAATACCTTATAATGCGCGGTATCGAGATATATAGGCCGTCTATATTGCAGACCTATAAGTCTAATGCGTGAGGCGAACGAGTCGAGGCGTCATAATGTTTCCGGACGTGGCAAGATCAAATCCAGCAAATGAAAAACAAAAAAAAAGCGACAGTCGATAATGTACGTTTTCCTAACGCTTCTTTATCTTAACGTTTTATTTCAAATCTCCATTTATTTGTGCGAGTATTTACTCGAATGAAATATCGGAATAAAATATGAGTTTCCTCGATGTAAGTGAAGATTGTACGTCTCAATACATCTTCCTCATGATATTATCATTTCTGAATTATAGCAAAATTTATCATATTTAAGTCTGACTATCGTTATAAGCGAAGTGTTATGTAGGATATGAAATATTAAACGGATAAATGATTAAAATAATGAAAACAGAATGATCACGATATTTGCAAGTACATTTCCTTTTTTGAATTTTTATAATTAAAACGCTATTTTCTTCGAATAAACTTCTTACAGAACGGAATTGTAGTGATCTCAAATTTTCTAGTAAGAAATCCGTTCCATCGTTCCGATTCCATGTACATTAAAATTGAACATTAATATATGTTTATAAACTTTGTGAGATTGAAAGAAATACAGCAGAAAAGTATTAGAATGCAAATGTAATGAAACTTTTTAAAGTATTGTTTAATTTTACATCTGTCATAGTTAGAAATGTGTTTTAAATTAAAAACTTTGTTATCGTATATTTAAATGCTCTATTGTTATATTGAAATGAATTGTTATATATGTATATGTACCTAATAGTACGGTACCATAAATCGTCTTATATATATTTTGCTATTTAATAATATTACTTTTATCACGTTGAAATGTAATTGATTTTATCCAATTATTTTAAAAAGTTAGAATTCTTTTATCATTGAGCAAGGTATAACATAATTTTACTGTCGCTACAGTAAAATAACGTGGAGTTTTATTATCTTTGCAAACACATTAACTTTCTTCGAGTGCGTCATTGATGTGCATCATCACACTACAAGACACGGACTCATTATTATAAGAAGAAAAGGGAAAGACTAAGAATTAGAATCTCCTACCTTAGTTTTGATAATCATTTTAACGAATATACTGAGTTATGAATCAAATTGATTGAACACACAGGTCATACGGATTAAGGATTTATCTGTATTAACCGAGAAAACTTTCCGAGCGATATTTCTAATCTTGCGACACATCGATGTATCAATATTGATTAAGGAAAACTACAGAGATGGCTGTTCGAAAAACATTAACAACGCGACAATGTATTTTATTTACGAATGCGAAGCGAGAAAAAGGAAAGAAAGACAAGGGGATTATTAATACACGATGTACGATAAACGATGCGAGAGAAACGTCTGAGCGATGTTCATACGACGCGAATTAACGTCGAACGAGAGTTATTCCCGTGGCAGATGATTATCGAAAGTATCTCTGTCATTTTAAGGCGAATAACGAAAGAACGTCACATACACAAGAGAACGAATGAAATAATAAAAGTATAATTATTATAAAATTTAATTCAGTAAGATAATCGAGAAATATACGATAATGCGCAATGAAATTTCTGTGGTAGTCTTATCTTCATCTTCTTTTCGTATCCTTTATCAATTTTTGCCTATTAGTAAGTAAGTAGTAACTAACTTAGTTTTATTAAATTTTATCAATTACAATCGTTTCGTTTTCTTTCATCAGTAATTCAAGTATCTTGCGGAAGAAAGATTTACGTGTGCTGGTCAAACAATTTTATTTAATTATTTATAATAATTTATCGTAAAATTTCATTCTTCTTATATTTTTTCTTATTTAAAAAACTGACATTTCAAATTTAACGACTGCTATTACTGTTTACAGTTGAAAGTATCTTGTGTACAATGCTTATCCTTATCAACGTATACGTAATATTTTCCCTCCATGGAATTGTTTTGTAATATATTGCAATTCACGATAATGCAATCTGTTGTGTTAGAATCAGGATAAGGGGATAAACTGAAAAAATTCAAATCACATAATAAGTAATACAATAATCATAAAGTAACAGAAAATCTGTATATAAATAATTCAAAAGAACATCTTATTGACACCTTTGGAATGACTTGAAAAAACAAATTCAATAATATGCGCGCAATATGTTTTATATAAATGATATAATATAATGAAATTTTTCAGGAAAATTTAATGTTCGTGAAAGTTGAGCTAAAGTGAAGTATATCAAAAGAAGGGACTTACCTGTTAGAAACACCAAGGAATCCACAATTATTTTTACACATATCTGTTATATAAGTAACAGCTCTCGTGTGTGAGCAAGGGATTATATTTATGCCTAAAATGTGAATTTGATTTATTCATAATTTCCTTTTATCGCCTCTTTTCTATTATTCTAGCAAGCAATATCTTTTTGAAAAAAAAAATCTTTTGTACACAATAATTAGATGTAATTGATCTCTCAGTACCGCATTTTGGTTGTATGTGTCCGCCATTGAAGTAGAAATCGGCATGACCTATTTCGTACTGTATCCCGAAATCCGATGTATGAAGAACTTCTACATATTTGGCATCCGATTTGCAAAGTCTATTCTCGCATTTGTTGATTCCGAATAACGGCGATGCGGGATCAGCAGCAACGATACGTTCAATCTTGAAGCCACCACTCTGCATATATTTCGCAGCAAAGCCACTCACGTGCGCGCCGAGGCTGTGGCCGATGTACGTTATCTTTTCTATTGGAACATCGCATTCTTTGATCAAGGTACGGGTATAGCTGCAAAATAAAAATTCAATTATTATGGACCATCGCATCTTTGGTATGTATACACGTGCGTGTGTATGTGTGCGTGCATGTGCATATACATACCCACACAGGGTATCCTTTTTTAACTTTCACATCGAAATATTTCCAAAAGTATAAAGAATGCGGAAAAATTTTTCAGATAACAAGTAAAATGGTTTTGAGAGCAACGTATTTTGAACACGGTTTTTTCTAGGTACAGACACGAAAAAGATACAAAAGGTCCATTTTTTAAAATAAAATTATGATTTTTTTTTACATAATATGATTTTTCTAATTATTCTGTTCATAAAAGTAAAGTACGCGATATAAAAAAATAGTTTATTATTAAATATATAAAAAATTAATAGTTTACGAGAAATTTAACATTTTATGTCAATATGTGTTAGAATGAAGTATAAAATATCTCTTAAACTATTAGGTTTTTTATATCTCTACCTTAATGCTTTTATGTGCAGAATAATTAGAAGAACCATATTTTATTTAAAAAATCATACAATTTCATTTAAAAAGTAAACCTTTATATATTTTTGGAGCCTCCACTTAGAAAAAAAATAATGTGATCAAAATATGTCCCCCTCGAAATTGTTTCGCTTTTATCTAAAACGTTTTTCCGTATCTTTCATATTTTTCAAAATATTTGTTTGTTAAATTCAAATAAATTATTCATATGCATATATGTATGGATGTGTATGTGTGTATATGTAAAATATAATCGAATACTATACTTATTTTATCATTATTTAATCATTAATATTATTTTATTTTGTGTATCGATTTTTTTTAAAAGTAGTTATACTTTGCCAAACGGTGACCTATCTCTCGAGTGTTGAACACCGCACTAGGATATGCCGCGAACTTCAAGATGGGTATCCCATCTGTGCAGGCTCCTTGAGACCAATCCAATGCAAATACTGTGTAGTCCTATCAAAGCAGAAAATTATTTTGTTAAATGAATTGATGATATTTTTTATTAAGTAAATTGATGAATTTTTGACGTAGATAGAATTCATCACACACACACACACACACCAATTCATCGGGAAATTATTTTATCAATTTTTACTTGTTTATTTTTCACTATATTTTACAATACGTTCACATTGAAATTAAATTTTTGTCTTTTTTAGATGCGTTGTACTTTCATTTCAATTATTACTTATGCGAAAGTGTAATATCTACTGATTTCAATTGCATGGCCAGTTCTCTAGTAGTACTCGAATTTGCGTAACTAGTGAAGCCATGGATTAGAAAGATGAGCGGTTGCGACGGATCAATATTGTTACAAAGCTTGTTTTCCAGGACTTTTTCATCTGTAACACGGCTGAAACGAAAATAAATATAATTGGCACAACAGATGAATTGACAATGGATATTTGCACCTGTTTTACCTGTTATATAGATATAATGATACCGATTTAACGCCAAAGACACAGGAATTTGAAATTTTTCCCATAGGCACTTGATTAAGTTCGGCACGTAAATACGTGCATTGTATGAGGAAAAGTACAAGTATCGTAATAATAGTTCTCATCGTGTGCAAAAAGAAATATTAACGAATCATCAAAGGAAAATTGATAGATACTAGATCAAACCTTGCAATAGTACGAGCTTTTATATGTACACGAGTACATGTTTTGTACATTTATACGTATATAAGTATTGACACTTGCAACACCAGCGGCTGTGTAAATTATTTAGGAAACGCAAAAAATTTGTGGTAACATTATGGTATCAATGCCAAATGATCAACGTATGCTGCCACCGCGGACATCTTTTCTGTTTGAAATTCGTTTTCATTTCCGATATTATGCGGCAATAAAAGATGATGAAGTGTTGTACAGACAATTATTAAACATGGTGATATATACCCTTGATATTATTTATTAACATATTGCAGTGCGACACTTGTCGTGTGTCCTTGTACTTGACATCTCATCGAGTTGTTATTGAACAGAAAATTTTTTATAGACTATGTTTTAACGATCGTGTACTTTCACGAAAGATCCAAATAAAAATGCCGAAATCGTAAACGGAAAAATTACAGGATTTCTGCAAACCAGTTCACGATGAAGTTCTGTTTTCTTCGATGAACTATTTGAATTCATATAAGTTTGCAAAAAAAATGAGAAAATTTGCATATTTTAAATTTACGAAATAATTACATCAATGAAATGTAAACGAGTATATTATAATAAGTAAGAAATTAGTTTATATAATATTTGTACGTTGTGAAGTTGTTTGGGCAACAAAACAATAATTATAGCAATTGCTACCTACATACTTAAAATATATTCTCTTCTCGTAAGGAGCATGTTTAAAACTAAACGCAACTATTTGTCGATATTAAAAAATATAAGTAATAATGAGTTTAATAATTATAATAATTATAATGAAATTAAATTAAAAATTTATCTAATTTAAAAATAAAATAGCGTATCTTAAATATTTATTTATGTGTAATTGCTATGCTTCGTTTTTCAAAATTAAAGGCTTGATATCTTTGATTAACTTTAAACATAAACAAAGAGAAACCTGGAGATCCGACGAGATACTATATTAACCCTTACCGTACTAATTGGGTAACTAGTGACCGAGCGATTCCTGTTCGTGCAAGTTTCTCGCAAGCTCGGTCAACCCGGCGTTTGTTATTGCCGCGTAAAAAAAGTTTGTGATGGGGAGGATCTGTGAGCGGTGGTGCGACTCCGGCCGTCAATCTGCCTATGACTGACGTGCAGTTTAAGGCGACGTGAGACACTAGTGACCCTTGTGAGTATATACGATGTTAGCTTTTTCGTGAAAATAAAAATTGTGTCAATATCATTATAAGTATTCTATTTTCACTCTAAATTAATGTCTGAATGTTTGTTTTCATTAAAAATTTTTTTTTCTAAAAGAATTATTTATTTTTTAGACAAAATAGATAAAACTGAAGAGGCGAGTCACGCTTTTCTTTATATATTTATAACTTGGAAATTGGATAAAGAAGAATGAGCTGTATCGCAGCTTGGAATTTGTATAGTATGTAAGCGGATTTAGGTTTATATTGATAAGGACCCAAATATAGGGGTCGAAACGTATATGAATTAATTTTTGATATGATTTGTTAAATTAACACGAAAATAAATTGTGCATCCGAACAACTGATGTTGACTTTGATGGGCTTGCTTATTTTTATTATTATTGATAGATTCTTCCAAGCCTTTTTTTTTAGATATTTGTTTATATATTTATCTAAATGTGTATTAAAATTTACATTTTTTTAATGAAAAAATACATTATTTTACAACAAAATAAAATAAATGCATATTTTAACTCGATTTTTTCTATATGTCTCCTTACTGAAAATTACTTATGTATATTCATGTGTTCAAATAATTCAACTTTTTGTAGAATTCAAAGTTCTAGTATTTTTTTTTTTTTTTCATAACTTCATATCTAAACTACAAAACCCTGGAGTGATTTTTTTATATTTATTTATTATGAAAAGTTATAATTTTTTAAATCAAATGCCATTTTTTCCCAATTTACGAATCTTTCGGTAATTATCAATTATACTACATTTTATTATTTTCCAAAATGAAAAGTCAATATTTATTCTAGAAAGTTGTAAGTATGTTGGTGAATTTTTAGAGATTTTTTTTAATTATTTTGAAGAGATGAAAAAACGAAGAGATTCTAGTGACCCTAGTTGGTAGTTGGTATGGATGAGGCACCAAATTGTAGATGGTACGGTAAGGGTTACCTCGGATCTACAATAGGTGTTTTAAGCCTTAAGCCGTAAGAAATTGACCAATTACAGTCGAATCCGAGAAAAATAAGCGATTGTGATTCGCCCATTTCTTATGGCTTAAGGCTTAAAACTCTATTGTAGATCCGGACTTAAAGAAAACAGAGATCTTACGCACGGAAGTTCGCGTTATTAACCCCGGATCTACAATAGGGTTTTAAGCCTTAAGCCATAAGAAATGGGCGAATCACAGTCGCTTATTCTTCTCGGATTCGATTGTAATTGGTCAATTTCTTACGGCTTAAGACTTAAAACACCTATTGTAGATCCGGGGTAAAGGATTGTTCGCGTCGCATGCTCCAACATACTTCCTCCAACTGTAGTTCCTACTCACTCAAACGCGCTCGTTAGAGTGAGTAGGAGCTATGGCAGGAACATGTTGAAGCATGTTGGAGTATGCAACGCGAACAAACCTAATAATTTAAGTAATAGTAATACTGATAGCATTAATTTCATGATTTATTTCGTGTATATATCTATGTTTAAAACTCAATAATATTGTATTTTTATTTAAAATTGATTTTAATTAATACTGTTGTCTGAGAGTAATTATCAATAGAAATGATAACTAAAGAAAAAAATTGTAATTTTGAATCAATATATAAGATATAGCATTACAAGTATGCATACTTATTTATGCATCATTTATATATAAAAATCATGAATTTAATATCACAAAACAATAATTTAAAGCTATCGAAATATATCGAATCGCGCGAGGCGACACGATCGAAAAACGGAAGGTCTGTTCTTTATTTCTGCACTCTGTGAACTGGTGCATATGGTGCAATAAATTGAAATAACACGAAATAAAATATGACCTCTGTTAAGCCTTGTGTCCACGATGCTAGAAATCGGTCCGAGATCTCGGACAGGGAAAAAATAACAAATCACATTTGAACAATTTGATCACATGATCATTGCGATTGGTCAATTCTTTCTTCATCCGAGGTCTCGGACCGATTTCTAGCATCGTGGACACAAGGCTTAGGCGTCGTCTACAATACACGGAGTAAGAAGTAAGAGTAAGAAATTGACCAATCACAGTCGAATGTGAGAAGAATACTCGACTGTGATTGGTCAATTTCGTACTCTTACTTCTTAAGCCGTAATCACACTAGCGATTGGCGACGGTAATTGACGATTGAGGATTACTTTTCAACCAATCGGAGTAAAGAAATTGGTGACTTTCAGGCTCTGATTGG